TCGATTTTTTTAAATAAATTTTCAAATGTCACAACTGGTAATTTTTGTTTCGATGCGTACAAAATATCTTGTTCACCTATTTTGACCAAAACGAAGTGCTTCTTTGCCCAGAATTCGAGCTACGCCTCGTGTTTTATTTCGACATCCTACAGAATTTCTACCACTTCATTGTAAATTTCTGTTTTAATTAACCCAGGACGAACATTACAGTGGACGTAAACGGCCGCAAGCAGCCGTGCACGATACCGCAAGCGGCCGTAACCGTCAGAGTTACGACCGTATACGGGCCGTAAATAACCCGTTTGGTATGCCCCGTATTACGGCCGTAACCCACCGTGACGTAAACGGTGAAACTCAACTACCGTAAACGGTGAAACCCATCTACCGTAAACGTTAAAAGCAGTGCCGTGACACGGTCGTATTTTCAACGAAACGACAGTTTACGACAACGAGAATCGCCGTATTTTAACATACACAGCCGTTTACGACCACCAAGACTACCGTACATCAAAGTAAACGGCCGTTTTCCATTCGTTATTCTCGATGACTTCACCTGCAAATCAAACAGATTTCATTCGGATTTCAAAACGATTTCATTTGGATTTCAAAAAGATTTTATTTCGATTTGAAATGGATTTCATTTAGATTTCAATAAGATTTCAAAAAGATCTCAAAACGATTCCACTTGGATTTGAGAAAGATTAGATTTCTGGGTCAAAAAGACATTACCTTTCGACTTGAAATTCAAGTGGTTTCTGAGAGAGTAGGAATTCGCAGGAACATAAACAGGGATTTAGGGGAAAACCGGAAAACAAACTGAATCGTGGACATGTTACTTGACTTGAATCGGGAAAGTGGTCAAACGAAGATTCGACGACAAGAACTCAAAGATAAATCTGATTTCGGCTTTTAAATCTATCCCACAACTCAAGAGCTAAAAGCGAAGGAAAATCTGCCTCTATGTAGAAGTTCTCGAGCGAAACAAAAAGGTGAATGATTGCGCGACACGCAATCGAAGATAAATCTGATTTCAGATTTCGGATTTTAAATCTAACCCTGAATTGAATAACTAAAAACGAAAATAAATCTTGAGGGTGTGGGGTGTGGGTGTGGGAGTCCGAACGTGGATTACCGGAAAATAGCGGTTTTACCCAGATCCACCCAGATCCACACCCTGAAGATTTTCAATGGCGCCAAAAAGTTATCAAAATCAGTAGAAATCATGAGAAATCAGTAGAAATAATTAGAAATGATCAAAAATCATCCGAATTTTGTGGTAATCGATAGAAAATTTAAGAAATCAAAGAAATCATGTGAAATCGGGCTAATTTACTTGAAACATTTCAGATCGTTTGAAATGATTTCGAATGATTTTTAGCGATTTCAAATGATCCGTTTTGATTTCTGATGATTTCCAATGATTTCCATGATTTCAATGATTTCAATGATTTCGTTGGATTTCATGCGATTTCGATTGATTTCGCCTATTGAAATCAGTTTGTTTCCCCTTGTTATCGCATATTCTGAATGTCGTTTACAGTCACCGTATTTTCACGGTAGTCGTAAAAGGCGAACGTTTACGGTCATTGTTTACGATTATCGTAATACACCGTAAAACTTCGTATATGACTGCCGTAAACGGCCACTGTAAACGAATGCCGTTTTTCAACGTAAATGATTGGTGTACGGCCGTTTACGGCCGGGCAGGAACGACCTGGGTGCTAGTTTGTAGAGCTTTCAATATCGACCATTGACACCAGGGTGTGGATGTGGGTTTAGAAAAAAGCATCGCTATCCACACCCAACTACGCCCACACCCAATATCCTGTATATAGAAAAATCACACCCACACAATAAAAACTCATTTTTTTGCGGAATATTTAAAAAAAATTTATTAAAGTTAACTGAGGTCATGTACTTCAGTATTTATATAAGAATATTTGCAAAAATATGGATTTCGAAAGTTATCATACACGAAGAATAACAAAATTCTTGTTTTATCTCTATCGAACAACACGTGTTCTTGATAGAATCGGCATAAAATTTCGGCTTCGTTCACGATTTAAATTGTTTCGATTATTCGTTGATTCTGGACATTGACAACTGTGACGAATTTTTTGTATTATTGGAAAATAAGTTTTTGTGAATTGTTCAATTTTTTCATATAATTGTTCATTAGTTGATGCAGCCGATTCGTGTGATAAATTTTCGAATGATTTTGTATTTGTTGTTTTGAGTTGTGTCTCATTTGAAGCTAGTGAACGTTTTGAATTGGTTCTTAAATGTAAAGCCTTTGTTGATGATAGTTGTGGATGGTGAATATTTTGCCACATATTATTACTTTGTGCTTTATGTACATTACAAGCAGTATCGAATGAACCAAATGATTCATAAAGAAGTCTATCATCGGATGATGATCGTGATCGATTACAATCATCTTTCGTATTTTTTTGTTTTTGAACTTTATGTATCATCGGTAAACCTTTTGGTGCTCGATTCGAATAACTTGAATTCATCAATGGATTTGATGTACTATCACCCATAGTCGATATTGATTCAGCTGTCATTGTATTTGTATCAACAAATACTTTAACAAATACAGGACCCATCAGTTGTTTCAGACGAGCCGATGTTCGAAGTCTCGATGTTTGATCTAATGCTTTTCTATGATTATCAACAAGTGGCTTACGAGGTAATGTTGTACGTGAAGTTTGTTGAGGAGGTATAGTATAAAAAATTTCGTATGAATCCGTTTGAACAACTGGCAATGATAAATCAACTCGATGAATAGAACGACCTGTATCTACCTCTTTCTTTGACATATCTATTCGTCAATAAAAATTTCTTTTCTTTTTCTAATGATCCAAATAAAGCTCGATTGTAGTGGAATATATTTCAATTTTGTCGCGCGAGAGAGACGGAGAAAAACAAACAAGATGAAATCTAATCTTCTCTTTCTTTCGTTCGTTCGTTCGTCTTTCCTTTTTTTCTTCGTATTATTGCTGAGGTTGCTCAAAATTTTATTTTAAATTTAGATTCTCTTATCAATAAGCAGCTTGTAGAGAAAAAAATAAATAAGAGAATCCCTAGTCATTTTCTTTCTTCTAATTTCATTACTCCAAGGCTGTCCGGCCAGTCATAATCAGAAATGATTTTAGACATTCGAAACAAACTTCTCATATTCCAGTTCAATAGATTTCATAGTTTATTTTTCGAATATGACGCATGATGCGTAGCCAAAAGAAAACATCGATCATTCGATCATAATTAAATAATAACAAAGCACTTACGTTTTTGATAGTTACGATTATTAATAGATTCAATAGAAACACATCTATATTTATATAAATGAAGTTTTTTTAATTGTTTTATTATTCTTTCTTAGTGATATCTGAATGCAAGATCAAGCACATAGTTTAAACGAAATCTTTTTTCTGATCTTTTTGTTTTGGGTCCTTTTCACATTATACTTTTTGCAAACGCACTTTTTTCTTATTCGATTATTCAAATAGACTTTATTTGTGTAGCTTTAATATTAATCCACAGAACAACTATAAAAGATTTTAGCAAATTACATCAGCTTTATCCAAGAGAACAATTCAACAAACAACTAGAAGATACTAAAGCCTTGTTATGCTCATTTTAATGTATTTCGCTGTCTCTTTAAACCCATTTAAGTTGGCTACCGATAGAATTATTTTCATATTAATTAACGCAAATACTCTATTTAAAATATGCTGAAAAATATTACATTATGTAAATCATTAGTTTCTTTTTAGAAATATTTCTTGTATTGATCAATGAGAAAAAAAATCAATTCATTAGCAATGCAGGAACTCGTAGAATGTTCTTTTTTTCTCTTTTCTAATATTATATTTGAAGCACATTGTTGAAGTCGTGCTAACACAATAATCAAAGTCAGAAAAAGAAATCCAAATAAAATTATACGAAAAAAAAGAGAGATACAGAACTCAATAATATATATATACATTAAAGTATTGCTAAAAAATAACGATGATATTTCTTCGATGACTAGATTCAATCAGATAAACAGGAAAATAGTATTCCTTAACACGGAGCTATAACAAGACAATTGCCACATAGTTTAGTTTGTCCGATACAATCATCGTGGCAATATGCGCCACATCTTTTACAAGCAATTAGTGGTTTACATTCGCAAGTGCATTTGTAATTTGTTGTTCGACTTGTTGCTAACGATGCTGACAGTGCATCGAATAGTTGTTGTTTTCGGGTCGAATCGATTCCGTTTGATGATTGTTGAACTTGCTGTTGTGAAATAAAGGTCGTCGTTGATGTGGTGGTTGGAACACGAACAGATGTTGAAATTGGCTGTTGTTGTTGTACAAAATTTCCTATGGATGTTGTTGGTTCTGAAGTTGTTGTTGAAGAATCGCAACGCATTATTTGCTGTAAAAAGACATGTTGCTGTGGTGTTAATGTTGTACCAGCTGCAGGATTGAACTTTGCAGATTGTTGTTGAGGCATATTTACTACAAATGCATTTACACGAGCTTGTAAAGTCTGATGTTGTGATGAAGAACCTGTTCGTGTTAGAAGTAAAGTTGGACGTGATGAATCATAATTGCCTATAAAACCGTAAAAGTTATGAACAAGAAATAAATATTTTCCGGCTAATCCTACTGGTATCCATAGTTTGTTGTTGTTGTTGTTGTTGTTGTTGTTGATTTATTTTTGCTACTTGATTTCTTGCTACGGCTTTTAATGCAAGTGCTTGTGCATTTTTTGTTGTTTGAGAAATATTTGTTGTCATCCAACTCGCTGTTGATTCATTCGTATTCTTCTTATTTGTTGCTGGTGCTATTGGTGAATAGGATGTTGTCGATTGTTGAGGTTTAACAGGTGATGCAAGAACAATATGCATCGGTTCAATAAATTCTCCATTGGTTTTAATTAAAATTTGTTGTAATGATTCACCATTGAGTGTTGTTTCTTTTTTAGTTTTCTTAATTGTTTTTGCTTTAATTATTCCACCAGGTTCTTTTTTAATTTTGGGCGATAAACTTTCTCCGTTAGTTCCTTTCTTTTTTGGCGTACGAACAGGTGAATGCGCTATAGTTGACGAGGGTATCGATGAAAGCATCATTGTATTTATGCTTGGTAATGATATGGCAGAATCTGATGAAAGATACGCAAATAGACCATCTGATGACGATGGTTCGTATTTGACCGAGGACACTAAAAAGAAAAACAATGTCATCAATCGAACTCGCAGCAGTTTAGCCGTAAAGTCTCTATGCAAATTATCGTTTTTTCTCTTACTAATATTCTCATCTCTCCTGGATGCGTTCAACTTTGTATGTGCTGGTTTGCGTGAGTTCCAACCATTTTTTAGCTAGTGTCGAATTCAATGTAGAACGTTGATACATGTCCCCTGTCAACTGTTCAGACTTCTTTCCGTCACTTGATTTGATTAATTTCTCAATAATGATTTATTTTATAAAAAAAAAAGAAAATAAACTATTGATTACTCTCTATTTCCTTCCTTCCGACTGCAGTGCTGCTTCGTCTTCTTTCTTACTAGATTTGCAACTGCTCATATTAATTTACCTGTATTATTAGAATTTGTATCTGCTTGTGATTGTTGTTTAATATTAGCTGTGATATTTTCAACGATCATAGTTGTTTGTTGTTCCGGTTGATGTGCTTCACCGACAGATTTTAATTCTTGTAAAATACTATTGAAATCAAGGGTTATTTGACTATTGGAACTATTTTTCGGTTGTTCTTGTTGCAATTGAGGACTTCTCTGATGATGATTATTCGTTGTTGATTCACTGATATTGTCGATCATTGATGCAGTAAATGAATCGAACGGTTCAGAAAAATCGTCGAATAAAAATTGTGTTACTGAATTATTATTATTATTATTATTATTATTATTATTAGTTGTATTCTATAGAGAGAAAAAAAGATAAAGACGGCATGTTGAAATCAATATTTTGTCCTTTTTTTCTTTTGCTTCAATGTGTTTAAGAAAAAAAGAAAGAACAAGCTAAATATATATATATATATATGATCAATCATCAATTTCTTTCTTTTTTCTTTTTGTTTTCCTCGTTATATTTTATGAGTTCATTCGAATCACATTCAGTTATATTCTATTTTTTTTCCTGTTCTTCTTCTAGTTTCTCGTCCCATCTTCCTTTCTCAATGTCAGCAGAAACGCACAGACACACTATAGTTCGTCCGCGTCTTTGTGTTGCAACGATTAAACACAGTTTAACATTTCTCTATGGTCTATATGTATGTATAGCTACTCTTAACTGCGAGATCGTCGATGTCGACAAAATATGGTTTGACAAAGAAGATACGATAGAACACATGAAACATTGAGTACTGCTCATGATTAAGTTCAGTGTCCAATTTTTTTCTTCTTCTTCCTCTGATTATTTGACTAGTACTGGTACTTCATCACAAAAAAAGAAAGTGTCAATGACGAAAGTAAAATAGGTCCGAATGAATCATAGTATTCGAACTAATAGAGACAGATACAACAACATGAGAATTGTGATGTCGACGACAATGTGTCTTGAAATTGGAGACAAAAGAAGAAATACATGTAGTTTTTCTTCTTCCTGAGCACTAGAGCTAGTGCTGCCTGTCGGTGCATCATGTAGTATTCATTCTTTTCTTCTTCTTCTTCTTCTTCTTTTTTTGTTCTCTTAAAAAAACTTATTTGTGAGTGATTTCTTTTCTGTCTCCTCTCGAACACACACTGATTATTATCCTCATCATCGATGTATTTTGACTTGTTGCCTTTGCGTGTATAAAATATAGAACTGATGGTAGTGGAACGATGAAGAGTAAAACAAGAAAGGAACGAATAACATAACCGATCAGACGTTTGCCGTGTTGGTAGTAAAGCAAGAAAAAATCCGACAACGATGGAGAAAAGAGAGTAAGTAAGTAAGCGTCAAAATGAAACAAATTTTGTTGGATGGTTTGTCGATAGAGTGAAAAAAAAGAACAAAAGAGAAAGCATTATATCGTATGGCGCACTATTTGAGACACAACAAAAACGAGACGGCATGTAAACTTGTCGATAAGAAGAAGAAAAACTATCACGTCACATATACATATTCGAATGAAGAAGAAAAATCTTGTTAGGACATACCAAAAGAAGAGAATCATTTGATGATTGATTGGTGAACAATGATGAAGGTAGGATTGTAGCAACTTGTCCTATTGGTTGATTTTTAGTAGGAGTAGCAAATGATGACCTAATAGAGAGAGGGAAAAAAAGAAAAATTTCGTAAGTTAATAGAAATAATCAAACTATCGCTGTCGCGTGTTTAGCTGGTCGTCTCTATTAGATAGTTTCTATGAGCGTTTACTTTGCCTGTTTTCAAATCGATGCCTTGTTAGGAAGGATTAAGTGTCTTTGTCTTATCTTATTGTGAAGATCCGATTTCTTCTATCGAATAGAAAACATTTGTCGCCAAAACTTTCTATATTCATTAGTTAGAATTGAAAAAAAAGTGTTACCGGAGATTCATTAAGATAGTCTATTGTTGAATTTCAGTCACGATGCAGTTTCGATATTTGCATATTCTCATTAGGAAACTTTTTGAACCTAGATCAAATCTCCAACGCGAATCATTGAGTATTTTATTTTTTTATCTCTGATCATGTATTATAAATTAAATGTAAACAATTAAGTTTTACTTTTTTCTAGATATAAAGTTCTAGAACATTTTTCATCAGTCATGGAAAAAACGCCATTTGTTTTTTTTTGCTTAAACGATACAAGCGTAAATCTTGTGGGGATTTAAATGTGCAACACGAGGTAGTCACTGATGAAATGATTATTGTAAAATGAAAGAACTTAAGTGAGACCTCTATCGCACTCTTTCGGACATAAAAGCGTGCATCTTTCTCGATTAACAAGCATACATCGTTCGTTCACTGGATTCATTTTGTGTAATTAATTCTGTTTTAATAATATTAACCATTGAACTAGAAGTTTGATTATCTAAAATTAAATACAAAATAAAATTTAAATTTAAATCTTCTACGATGACATACTTGACGAATTTGAAGCTGCAGCAGCGGATGCTAAACGGAAAAAAAATTATTCAATTCTAATTCATTACAATAATTTTAAGAAAAAAACACAACGAACCTTTTCGTTTTAATGCAAGTTGTTCTCTAATTTGTGCTAATGTTCGTGTCTGCTGTACAACTGGTTGTGGTTTCGCTAATGTTTCAGTATTATCTTCATTTGTTTGCATTTCATAAGTGGGTGAGACAACTTTTATAGTCGTTTGATGGGATATTTGTTGTGAATGATTACCTTTTGACATCTGCCAATCTTCATCTGTATCATCGAGTTGATCGTCAATTGAAACAGACGGTGGAGGAGTGGGTTTAGAATAATTGTAACTAGTTTTATCTCCTGTACTTGCACCTTTGACTACCTTCATTTTTTTTTCTAATGATTTAATTATACTCAATTCATTAATTTGTATAATTCTGCTTCCTTTTTTTTGGGACAACACGAATGAATAATATCATGGGTTTTCATCATAGCACCAATCAAATAAGAGCAATGTCTTTATTTGATATATTTATGCATTCTGATATATAGAGGGCTTCGATAGAATGAGAAATAAGAATGGAGCAACGTTCTTATAAAAATAAAACTTCTATTAAAAAGTCACTTTTATTTTATTTCTCATGTTGATGAGGGCACGAAAATTTTAAATTTACAAAATGTAAAACGTTTTGAAAATACAAGGAAAAAAAACAAGATCTCACTCAATACAAAATATTAACTGACATTTTCATCAAATATTATTTATTCGCACTAATAGATGTGTGAATACCTAAACATGTATAGATGCACTTCAGGTAATAGTATTCATTCAATTATACAATAAATTAATATAAAAAATATTTTTTCTTATTTTTTGATGATCTGCATGAAAAAATTACAAACAAAAAAACACAGATTTATCGTTTTCGAAAAATTATTTCATTGTCACTTCACCTTTTTTGATATCAGACTACACAAATGAAACATATACTAAGTTATGTGAATATGGACGATGTATAGCGCCTCGATCTATTTTTCTATTGGGTCAAACATAAAATTTTGATTACTTTTAATGAGATTTTTTTCTTTCTTTTAATTATTAAAGCACGAAAATTCTTGTAAAAACACTGGGAATGGAGCATTCTACGAGAGAAGAGCAATAACTGTCATATTAGAGATCTTTTAAATATATATGCGGGACAGAGAGTATGAAAAAAAACGATAAAATCGTTGACATTGAAACATTTAAAATGTAGTTTCAAATAACAGAAATATGATGTGAATATGAAAACCCACTAACTGATATAAAGGGAGACTAATGAGATTGATGACAGTATTATAGATAAAAATAAAAATAAATCATCTTTCATGCGAAAGCGACTGTACATTTCTTGACATATCTCATTTTTTGGTGAAATACAATCAACTAATCATAATTCATTTATTAATATCAACATACAAAATGAATTAAGGATATTTTCTTGATATCAACATTTCATCGGCACAATTGCATTATACTGTACTTGCAGTTGAGTACACTAATTTCAGTAGTTTTATTAGGGACACGAGATCGGACTCTAAAATATGTGCTCATTAAATTTTATTCGACGCTTCTGATGGTATTTTGATTAAAGTAATGAAGATATTTTCATACGGGCTCAGCCCTGTCGTATGTTGAAACAGTGTAAACTTCAATGAACTAGAAAAGAAAAATTTGTATAATAAATGGTGTAGAAATGTTATGTTGCATCTAGTAAACAAACGATCATGCATTCAAGGTGTTACACTCGATTGTAACAAATACGTTTTGTTGTATTTCGTTTATTGAAGCGTGACAGCGATTGGTTTTTTGTCTTTCTTTCAAAAAGTAACAAAATAGAAATATGGCAACTAGTAACAATGAAATATCTGAAGGTTTATTAAACACTGATCTATGGGATCGACTCGATTTTCATTTAGGATCCTATGTAAAATCTCCAATACAATTACGTTATGTTAGTTCAAAAACGTCCACTATTGGTCGAGCATTACAACTTGCTATAGTTGATTTAATTGATCATGTTAAACGAAAATTTGCGGATTACGCAGAAGATAATTCAACTCTTCTCGGTACTGAAAATCGTTTATATCATTCACGTCAATATTCATTAACTGCGAAAGACGCTAATATCGAATCTTTTCAATCAAATGGTATTGACGATAAACTGAATATTGAAATAGGTTCATTAGCTCCAACGATTTTCTATCAATTACGCGAAGACATCGGTATATCAAACGAAAAATTTCGTCAATCATTTTCTGAACATGGTTTAAAAGATTTTACAAATACAGGCAAAAGTGGTTCGTTGATGTATAAAACATCGGACAATTTGTTTATTCTAAAAACTCTACGCGAATATGAAGCACGTTTATTAATTCAAATTCTACAAGGTTATTCGATACAATTTCGGCAACGACCAACAATGTTTAATCGTTACACTGGATTATATTCCATCCGTTTAGAATCATCATTATCGAATTTTACAATTTATGTTGTTGTTATGGTTAACGCGTTTACACCGTCATTAAAAATAAACGAAATATTCGATTTAAAAGGCTCAACAATAAATCGAAAAATCACTGGATATTTATCAACGGAAAAATTCTATAAATTGAAAGATATGGATTTTAAAGAGTTGTATCCTGCGGGTATACGTATACCAACGAATATTTTCCGAAAATTAAAAACTACACTGGCTAATGATGCGAAAGCTTTAAGAAAATTGAACGTAACAGATTTTTCATTAATAGTTGGAATTCGACATTTAGATATGTCGAAAACTCAAATGGTAGACCGTCAACAAATAACAGGCATTACAGCTCTTCTTCGCGCAACAAACAGTCTTACGTCAATACATCAGAAAGATCTTGCTGTTGATGCTTCACCATCAATTGTTGAGTGTGAAGTTAATGCTTCACTTAATTCATATTTGAAACCTTTGGAAATGCTCCAAGAAAAACTTGATATGGATTTATATTATAATAATGATTCAGTTGCTTATGAGACTTTACCCATTCCGGGTATTATAAATAATACGAATAAGCGTGTTTATATTTATTTGGCTCTGGTTGATATGCTTCAAACATTTGATAGTTTTAAACTTATCGATCAAGCATTTCGAAAAATTACGGATCCTAATCGACATCTTGAATATTCTGTTATTGAACCAAATGATTATGAACAACGTTTCATTCAATTTCTATTTACAGATGTATTTTATGATGCTAATAATGATTTCCCATGGGCTATTACTGATGTTAGTCAATCAGTTGCGAATATTAATAATGTCAAGATTAAGAAAAAGAAAAGAAGTGAAGAAAACCATCAAACTGATTCACCTAAGTCTGCAGTTCATGGAACTAATTCAGAAGAAATTCTTGAATTTCATTTTTAATCTATTTTTTTTTCTTTCGAATAAATATTAGCTAATAGTCTAATTGAACAAATAAATCATGAATACGAGATAATGATTGTTTAAAAGGAAAAATAATCATTTTCTTCATTTTGATTTATAGTAGTTGTATCTTTCCAAGAGTAGATCGATATCTTTATTATGATACAATTGAGATATGTCTCTAGCTGAGTCACTTCGAATTATTGCACAACAAAAACAGCCAGTTATTTTTCTTTTTCTTTCTTTCTCTCCGTCAGTCACTATAAAAGGTGTGTTGCACACAAAACTATTCATTTCTATCTACGTTTGGCAAGGTGTAACATGCTTCGAATCAAAGCTACGATAGGAGAAGATCATTCTGATAAACCGGTACAATATGTACCTCTAAAGAATGTAAACATTGAGGCAAAGATTCGTTCATTTGCCGCCGATGTAAAGATAAGACAGGTGTTTCGAAACGAGGAAAATACGCCGATTGAAGCGGTCTATTGTTTTCCGATCGAAGAACGAGCTGCTATCTATTCGTTTGTAGCTCATATTGATGATCGTGAAATTATCGCCGAGTTGAAAGAAAAGAATCAAGCACAGAAAGAATATTGTGATGGTATAAAAAGTGGCCATGGAGCTTATTTATTGGAACAGAATGAAGATTCCTGTGATATTTTTATGATTAACGTTGGTGGGATACCTCCATCGAAAGAATGTATCATTACTATAGCCTATGTGTCGGAATTGGAATTGGCTTCTGAATCCACCATTCGATTTGTAGTGCCGACGGCTATTGCACCACGTTATGATCCCGGAAAGGGTAGTATTTCATCATCTGCAAACATGAATTATTCATACGTTCATTCAACTTTGTATACAATTGCTTTTAATTGTCGCATTGAAAATATTGGACAACAGATCGCTCGGATAAATTCAACATCGCATCCAATTGAAGTTGATCAAAGTCAAACAGATGCATATTTAGTGACATTTACTCAGGAAAATACATATTTAGATCGCGATATTCTACTAGATATTGAATTGCAATCAAAGCATGAAAGTTCGATCATTGCCGTCGAATCTGGTGCTGTAATGGCGGCATTTATTCCCACCGATAATAATTTTTGCCAGTCAGCAATATCGAACAATGAATTCATCTTTGTTGTTGATTGTAGTGGGTCAATGAGAGATGAAAATAAGATTTTATACGTTCGCGAAGCCATGATAGTCTTTCTTAGAAGTCTACCAATTCATTGCCATTTCAATATAATACGATTTGGTTCCAATTACGAAAGTCTCTTTGGAGAAAGTACTGTAATCTACAATGAAGAAAATGTTAAAAAAGCTGAACAATTGATTGAGAAAATGGAAGCTAATATGGGTGGCACTGAACTGGTAGACATTTTTTTTCTTGATTAGATTATATTTGCTATTTGTTTTTGAATGAATTTAGTTGGAACCGTTGAAATGGCTTGCACAAAACGCACTTGATCAAGGACGTGGGCGCCAGATTTTTCTTCTGACCGATGGTGAAATTTCAAATGTTTCAGAAGTACTCAATCTGTGTCGTTCGATGGCTTCAAACACTCGAATTTTTTCATTCGGTTTGGGTCAATCACCTAGTCATTCTTTGATCAAGGGTCTGGCTCGAGCGACCAATGGTCAATTCGTTTTTATTCCACCAAACACAAATGTAGATGAACCAGTTTGTGAGCAATTACGCAGGGCCCTTCGACCATGCATCACCAATGTGCACATCAAATGGAATCTTGGTGTTGAAGTTCGCAATGCTCCAAGGCGATTACCTCCAATTTATTTCAATGAGAGACTCATTGTATACGGCCTCGTTGACGATAAAACGATTCCATTCAATCACAAGTCTTCTGTTGAATTAGAGACTTATCCGGATCATCATCGATTAGTCAAAGCTCAAGTTACTCGAGTGCCAACTGTGTGTGACCATACGACAATTGCTCGCCTTGCTGCTAAAGCACTCATTCTAGAGTTACAACATGAAAAAAACCCATCAGAAGGGTTCAATACGGAAATACAAGTTCAAGATATTTCGTTGTCGAAGGACATAGAAATCATGTCGACAAGACATCAAATTATTCAGTTATCTCTCAAGTACAATATCTTGAGTCCATACACGGCTTTTGTCGGCATTGAAAAGAGAATAAATCAAAACAATGATGGTATGATTTTACGTGAAATACCAATTCAACTATCTATGGATGATCAATATTCACAGCCAATCGTTCCGCCAATTTTCAATAATGTGCTTTCCTATCACTCATATAGTCCATTCTTACCAATGTATCTAAGCCATTCAGCCAGTTCACCGACGTACTCACCAACATCCCCAAGCTATTCACCCAGTTCACCGGCGTACTCGCCAACATCCCCAAGCTATTCATCCAGTTCACAGAAGTATTCATCGATTTTGTCTAACAACCTCGATAATATGAATGCGAATGATTTACCGGCAACCGACGCTAAGAAAAGAAAGTGCGACGCAGAGGATAATGATGATGATTGGCCAAAAAACAATCGAGATATTGTTCGGCACTTGATTAAGAAGCAAACGTTTGATGGTCTCTGGAATTTAGAATCTGAGAATATCGAACATTTGACTGGAAAGCCTCTCGCAGAATTTCAATCGAAATATTCTCAATTCGATGATAAAACTCTCATATCACTAATTGTAATTGCTGCGTTTTCTAAATATTTCAAAGCTTTAGAACTGTTGTGGCACGCTGTAGTAGAAAAGGCTCGTAAAACTCTCGCTAATATGATCGAAAACCAATTGGTAGATCTCGATGGATTTCTATCCGATATTTCAGAAAAACTATGAACTAAATAATTTTATTTGAAAGTATTTGCAATAATAATTTGATTGTTTTGTTCAAAAGAAATAAAAAAAAGCTGGTGATTCAATTCATATTCTAAGTGTATTGTATTCAAACTCTTTGGTCTTACAACCTTTCCTTGAAGACCTAATTCAAACTAGCTGAATGATGTTTATAGTTCAAGAAGCTCTGATGGTTTGTAAAATAAAATTGGAACAAATATTTAGTCCGCGTAAGGGGTTAGCTCAATTGTTTTCAAAAATATATTTCTCGGTTTAAAAGATATCAGTTCACAATTGTGTAATACTATCTAATTCAATACATGATTCATTCTTCTTTTGATTCTACTATCAAAAGACATTCACTGCCTAAGCGATCAGTCGCATTGAATATAAATTTTTCGGTTTAAAATTTTAAGAAAATTTCAATGCTGCGCGATTTTTGTGAATTCACCTTTTCAACAGTTGTTTCCATGTCACTCGATTATCTCGTCTAATAGATTGGTCTTATGTTCGACACTCTATTGGGCAGTATTAGCAGATTTCCAACCATTGAATGCTCGATATTTTAGAAAGCTACGAGTTCTGATCTTATTTCAATGAGGAACTAATTATAGACAGTAGTATCATTATATATCGGTGGATTTTTCTGATAGAGCGAATTCAAATGTTCTAATAATGTAATACAAAAACATTATGTTATTTGAGACAGCATGTCTTTGTTATATCACGATACAATAGAACTTGATAAAATGTATGGAATTTTTTAGTAGATCATATGCGTAGGATAAATCTAAAAAAAAGCTGCAAAAGAAAGTCTCAAGAAGATCTATAAAACATAAAATGTTCAGAATGTAAGGCTATTTCCAGTTTTGTTTTGCAAACCATTGTATATCTACACTGAAAAAATCAGCGTAGTCCAACACGGCGCTGTCAAATAAACAACAATTCATTTTAAAAAAAACCGCATAATTCCATTTCATTTTTTTGTATGACGCTCATTTGTGTTCTATCGGCCGTCTTTTCATTTGAATGCCATTTCGTCAGTGGCAACACCATCAATAATGGCAACAGCTTTTGTAGGAAGCAAAGCCAATCGCTTTCTTGATGCAAGCGAAGAGCCAAGTCAAACGCTCCTTCCAATTACGGGATACGAAAAAGAAAATTTAGTATCACTCGAAGAAGCGGTTCGACCAATTTCAACTTTACTCTATGATCTTGATACAAAGGTGTATATAGCAAAACGAAATTCGCTGACACCAGCCGATGGTTTGACTAGCGATCAATCGGCTGCTATTCATCTGTATACGATCGAATGGGAAGAACCTCATGATAGTTTATACACTCTTCTTAATCGAACACTACGTACTGCAGAAAGAAAGACGCTGAAACCTTGGTTTTCTTATCTAAAACTTTTTCTCACGGCTCTATACAAGTTACCATCGATAAAGGGCCTTATCTGGCGTGGAATTCGAGGCAACGTCTACGAACAATATAACATCGATCAAGTATGGTGGGGTGCCAGTTCATGCACAGAAGCAATGCAAGTCATGGAACGATTCGTCGGTCGTTCGGGCGTGCGAACTCTATTCACTATAGAGAGCCGTTCTGGTAAAGCAATTGGGATGCATTCGTTTTACAGAAATGAAAATGAAATTGTTCTTATGCCTGGCACTTATTTTCATGTCGTGGACAAATGGAGTCCAAATGAAAACTTATATATGATTCATTTACGTGAGGCAGATCCACCATATCAATTGATTGCGCCGCCCTTTACAGCAAGTGAATCTTGTCCCAGAAATGGTAAGAATTTCATGTTCATGGATTGTAGAGACAAGTACGATAAATTTTCCATCTATAAGAATAGTTTAGTTGAATAGCCAGTGGTACTCTGATAATATAACGCCAGTCGATTTTATACCTACTCAAAAACACCACATTTCTATTTTCGGAGTATCACTTATAGTTAGTTTGAGAACTTTCAGATACTTAACAAAGTGTATTATATTGGACTGAATCATGTTTCCTAATAGAAGTTTCCAATACAGTGCTGAAAGTTTTCTGTTCAAACGCGATACGAATATCTATATTAGACCTTGACCTTGCCATCATTCATCATTTTAGAAGTAGATCTGAATAACAATTCAGACCAGTTAAAAAATCGACCACGCTTAATTAATTTTTCTGGTAGAAAGCTGACCGATGCAAATATTGAAAGCATTGTAAAGGACAAAACGATCCAAGCTTACTGTACACAATTAAATCTATCATCCAACAACTTGACATGTTATGGATGTTGGGCGATAGGCAATGCATTACGAACGAACACCGTGAGACGAACAATCTATTCGTCAGTCAAAAATTAACTGTAATTTGTTTTTGTATCAAATAGACTCTGACTCAATTGAATCTTTCAGAAAATCAAATTTCACAAGACGGCGCGAAATATCTTGCCGATGTATTATACGAAAATACGGTAGAAAAAGATGAGCACATATTTTTGATAATTTAAATATTCGGCAATTTCATTCTTATTCTATAGGCACTTATACAGCTGAATCTAGGATCAAATCAAATCAAAGACGGTGGTGTACAGTGTCTAGCTGATGCATTACAACAGAACACAGTGAAAAATAATAGATGTCATGATTATCTGTACGTGTATAGTTTAATATAGACACTGATCCAATTGAATCTCGAACAAAATGGCATCGCAGATAAAGGCGCATGTTATTTGGCTCATGCACTTAGGGCTAAAAAGGTATAGAGTATTATGTTTTTATTGCGAAGAAAACCAATGATTATACTCGTAGAAACTTGCTAAGCTTCATCTTGGAGCAAATGAAATTACGGAGAAAGGAATGAGATATCTTGCTGATGGATTAAGAGTCAATCGAGTAAAAACATTTGTATATTTTACTTTTCTGTAATACAGCGACATTCATTATTTGATGTAGACACTTACTGAGTTGAATATCAAACAAAATGAAATAGCAGACGAAGGATTGAAATATTTGGCCGAAGCTTTAAAAACCAATCGAGTAGGATAGACTATTTGTTTCATTCTCATGTTATTATATTTCTCTCAAAGTAGGCACTCATCCACTTAGATCTAACATCAAATAAGATAACAGAGAAAGGAATACAATATTTGACTGATGCACTGCGAATTAATAAGGCAAGATAGACCACATGATTAAATAATTTATATTTATATATGAATTATTTCTTATTTTGGAATAGACTCTTATGCACTTGGATCTTGGTTCGAATAAGATAACAGACAAAGCAGGACTATATTTAGGTGATGCTTTACGTAATAATAGAGTATGAGATAGTCGTAGATAGTTTATTGTATGCTATTAATTTGTTTACTGGCACAGACATTGATTCGGCTCGATCTTAATAGTAATCAAATCGCTGACAAAGGACTCAGATATATTGTTGATGGACTACGAACTAATACAGTGAGAGATATGATGTTCTCATCGTTTAAATATTTGTCTTTTTTACATTCGATGAAAGAATCTGACACAACTCGATCTTGCCTACAATAGAATTACAGATGTTGGAGTGCAACATCTCACGGATATATTGGCAGCCACGAGAGTGAGCTAAATCAAATTTCATAGGTCTCTTCTAAATTTAGACTATTAGGTGCAAAGACTTACTCGACTAGGTCTTGGAGGAAATGAAATCACAGACAATGGAGTACACCATTTGAGTGAAGCTCTATTGATTAATCGGGTTAGTAACATTGCGTATGCTGTATAAATGTTTTTATCATGTTTCGCATTATTTTATATAGAAACTTATTCAACTAGACCTGGAATCGAATAAAATTTCAGACAAGGGAGCTCAACGTTTGGCTGATGCTTTAAGAGTGAACAAAGTAAATACAAATGATGGCGATATCTATCTTAGACTCACAATACCTGATTTTAACAGACACTGACACAACTAAATTTGGGATCGAATAAAATTGGCAGTAAAGGAGCACACCATATAGCCAGTGCATTACGAACTAACAAGGTACAAGAAAGTAGTTCGAACCTATTCGTTCTATATTTTTATCAAACATTGACCATAGAGTGTGACACGGTTAGATCTGAGTGGTAATCAAATTAATGAGAATGGTATACAACATTTAGCTGAGGCGCTACACTGTAATTTGGTGAGAGATATTTATTTATACGTTTTTTTTTCTTCTTATCATTCGATATTTATCATACGGTATAGTATCTCATTGAACTAAATCTTTGGTCCAATCCTATAATGGATGAAGGTTTACAATATCTGGCTCATGCATTGACAAATAATCGAGTAAAGCGTTTCTACAAGTTTATTTTTGTGTATATCTATGCTTTACGTTAATATATATATATATATAGGCAATTACTAGATTAGGCCTTGAGCGGAGCGAGATCACAGAACAAGGAGCACAATACTTGGCTGCTGCACTACGCAGTAATTCAGTAAGATGCATGTCGCTTGTGTTTCATATTATGTTGATCATGTATTTATTATAGAGTCTAACGCAACTCAGTCTATGGGGTAATCACATAGGAAATACGGGTGTACATTATTTAGCTGAATCGTTGCTCGTGAATAAAGTAAACAATAATAGCTTTTAATCTGATTGGTTACTACTTTACTGTTTGGCGTAGACACTCGCTCAGTTAGATCTTGGAAAAAATGAAATTACAGAAGTCGGAGTCAAGCAACTTGCTTATGTTTTAAGAAGTAACAGAGTAGGCGAACACATGACATATGAGCTGGTTTTGTTATTTAAATATTATGTATTGTAGACACTCACTCATCTGGAGCTTGAATGGAATCAAATAACACAAGAAGGAATCGAATATTTGATCGACGCTTTACAATACAATTCGGTAGCAGATATTAGTTGCTGTTGATTTCTCATTCGATGTTTTTTTTTCTCTTTTCAACAGACATTTAATCGTCTTAATGTTTCGAACAATCAAATTACAGAAGAGGACCAGCAATGTCTTATTCAAGCATTGAAAAATAACATAGTAAGAAATTTCCTTCTCACATATGTTCTGTTCTAATTCTATTGTTTGTATTATAGACACTGAATCTCTCAATATAATAGCAAATTTCGATCATTTAAAAAGTTTTTTTTCTTTCCAAAATGTAATTAAAAACTAATGAATGTGTTCAGTACTAACACAAGTAACGAACATTTTTCTTATTATACCTTCAGTTGTAAATACATGTTTTTTTTAAAAATTTCAACAACTACCTTGGAAAGAGAATAACTGAGAGTGAGTGAATGAATGAATGAATGAATGAATGAATGAATGAATGAAAGTGTGCACCATTTTCCTAGCACTCTATACACAATTGAAATTTCTAATATAATTTCAAGTACAATCCGTGCATGTAGAGATTCTAACTTTTTCATGAACACTTGAATCAAGTTTAAAAACTTATGTTTTAAGCACTAAACAGATAAAAAGAAAACAAAAACTTCTTCAAAGCAACTGCATTATGGCGCCCAGAAGACCTTTTATGGAAAAAAAATAATTAGAACCATAGAATTTTATTTCATCTCTAAGTGTTAATTTTTCAGAACAATCTTATGAAGTCATTTTACTGATAATAATAATACATGTGTAGTGCACTAAAAAATATTTTCTTGTTTAACACGTGATGCAACGGTAATGTTTATGTTAATTTTGTGTTATCAGTACAAACACACGAAACATGAATTGTTGTCTTTGTTTTTTTTCTATCCGCCTAAATTAAATGAACAAGAAAAAAATAAATTAAAAAAAACCGTGCACTAAAGATGAATGATTTAACGTTGATGACTCACTAGAACATCCTAACGGAGGTATTTGGATCATAAATTTTTGAATTCGATGATTTGCTTGATCCGTAATATAAATATTTCCATACCTATCAAATTTTAGATCTCTCGGGCCCCTTAGTTGGGTGGCAGCTACGCCTGTTGTTCCCGTACAGCCAATAATGCAGACACCACCAGCCGCATAATTTGTCGTCCACTTCATGATTCGCCCATTAGAATAATCGGCCACATAGATATACCTATCAATGAATGATATCATTTTCAACAATTATGTAGAATTTTTAAAAAATCTTTGAGCGAATCATATACAGCTCAAGCAAAATTTAACAAGGAAATTAAACTCTAATCTCCAATACGGATATCTTATAACGATATTCAATTTAACATACCCATTATTATCAACGATCACTGCTATGGGCTGCGCTAAAAGATACGCAGTTGAACCAGTTGTTCCATTACCAGCTACTATAGTTCCATTCAAAGATCCAGGATCGTATTTCATTACACGAAAATTCAGTTGATCGGCTATGTACAATGTTCCATTGGGGTCTATAAAATTTCCAAATGGACTTGACAATTGATTTAGTCCTGGACCTGCTGGACCCCCACCTGCTACGACAACACCAATCGATGAAAAAGGAATAAATTTACCAACTTGATTATTGTCAGAATCAGTAACATATATATTATTATTGACATCAATATGTAAATCACGCATTTGACCAAGAGGATTTATTGTCGAATTTTCAGCAAGTGTGATGCCTATGGTGGATCCGTTGACAAATTTTTGAATTCGATAATTACTGCTATCAGCAACAATAATATCACCGTATTGATCAATAGCAACACCTTTAGGTGATGATAATTGGTTACTTCCATTTCCAATGGTTCCGTTGCCGGCAACAATAATTCCAATAGTCGCATTCGGAACGAATTTAAGTACGCGAGCATTGTCTCGATCAGCAACGAACAGGTTATTATTGTTGTCCACAAAAATACTCACGGGGGCTGAGAGAGATCCTAAATCAGATCCCAATGTCCCGTTACTGTTACCAGCCATTGTTAATCCCGTATCATTCCATGTGGCACAAGTTGGGATATTCAATGCATAGATGCCAACAGGAGCGACTGAAAAATGAACAAACGATTCTTCATGCTAGCTGTTGTACAAAACAAGCAATAAAGGTTACACACAAGTTATTGTTGTTTGAGTAGTTGTAGAAGTTGTGCTCGTACTAGTAGTGCTTGTTGTGCTCGTACTAGTCGTTGAGGTAGCTGTTGTTACGCTTGTTGTCGTTGTGGTACGTGTAGTAGTAGTAGTAGTCGATGTTGTCGAAGTAGTAGTGTCTGTTGTTGTAGAAGTGGTCGATGTCGTCGTCGTAGTTGTTGTTGTCGCAGTGGTAGTGGTTGTCGTTGTCTCCACAGTCGCTAAAGACAGAGAAAAGAACTAAACGAGCTTCGCACCAAAACTACCGACAGTCTCATTCAAATCCTTTTCGTAGGATAAAATGCAAAACGTTAAAGACAATAAATATTTTTTCTGCTTAAGATACATTTTCATATCACATTGAACTCACTTGTCGTCGTAGATGAACGTAGCACAAGAACACCGTAAAACACTCCAGCAACAGCTAAAGCGAAGATAAGCGCAACCACTGCTACTTTTCCAACTAAAAATCTTTGATTTCTAAAATTAGAAAAAAATATGCAGTTTTATTAAATTTGTTTTTGAAGAACTAACAAAGTCTTCAAGGAATTGCCAGGTATTTCAGGAATTCGACCTATGCTTGTATTCACTTGTCTAACTGTTCTTGGTGATACTGCATGGGTCTAAATAAGAAAAATATTTACACGCATTCATTTCAATAAAATCAGCGAAACAATAATGACAAATTGATATTTAGCAGTTTGTTTTTTACTAACCACTTTCTGAATCACGTGTTTTGAATATCTGTTCATAGTATGTGCATTCGAATTTTTATGATATCAGTCAATATTTCTCGATAATTTCTTGTTGCCAAAACCTGAAATGTGTGGAAGACTTTGCAGTTTTCTTGTAGATGTATCTATCTTAGCCTCCATTTGCATTCATAGGTTGATAGATAACCTTTAATTCGATTCACATCATAAATTTTCAGAATAATAGGTAGAATGTTTTTCGGATACTCCGTTTACTGATGCCGTTTTGATATTATTTTTCGATGGAACCTCTATTCATCTTCTCTGGATACGTATTGATACGTCAGATGACTATAATCTTTCGAAGAGAAGACTTCTGTTCATGCTAATCAGAAAAGTCTTCATTTTAACTTAAAAATTAGTATCAGTTTGTTTTTTGTATGTGATTAAGCCACTTAATTCAATCATAGTTTTCATTGAATATATTTATCAAATCTATTGGACTATAATCATTTATAAATTTGCATGTGCAAAATCACGCCGCTGTTCTATTTTGCATATAATTGAATTCACACATTATGATAGAATATATGTCAGTTTCTTTCTGCATTTTTTCGTTTACTTTTATTTGTTTTTAATGGCATTATTATTCAGAGAATATAGAAAGCGAATGAATGCGTCTCGTTTCGTCCTATTCGGCTGATTTTGAAGCACTGAATTGAAATTGGATTAATTGACTGTGTCTAGCTCGAGCTACCAATTGATCTGCTTTTAGTTTCTATTTTCCTCGCTTATATTGATATATTTCGTAAAGAAAATGTACGTAGCTGCTTTTTAGTCCTAAACCGCGTCTTTTGTAGGTTTTAACCAGTGTCAAATCACTATTTTCTACTGTTTACTACTTAGTGAAACGATTGTAGTTGTTCGAATTGCGCCGTTCATTTACAACGAGAGCTATCGGCATGCGTAAAAATGAGTTTGAATATATGAAGATGATAAAGTCTGATCTCTGTCGTCCTACCGTGCTTTGCTCTATCGGTTGATAAAATTGAGGCAGACCAGGAGCAACTGCTTGTGTACCAGTAGACATCGCTTATAGTTACGTTCGCTGGTCAGTTTTTGTTGTAAAATATTGATTTCGTCCTGTTCAACAGTTTGCAATTTCGAAAATAAAACAAATCAATCAAGAACTCATGTTGTTTTTCATTACTTAGCGCATGTATTAACTGATGGGATCATTGCCTGTGTTGCACTTTTGTACTGTTTTGTTTTCTCTTGATACAACTATGCAATTGACAAAACTGCATTTAAGTATGTAAACAACTATACATTGCTTACAATATTCGCTTGTTCGACAATTTACCAGTAAAAACATGCGTCATTTCATTTTTTTCTCTACCACTGATTTTAACGATCTGAAAATTTCTCGCAGAAGCACTCAAAGAAATTTTGGTATTTATTCAAATACAGATGAATTCGATAACCAGCAAATAACAGCATGCGTATGAAAAACGTGTATCATACTATTAGATTTCAGTGAACTCAACTTCGTCAGTTATCAATAAGGAACTGTACTATTTTCTCCACTAGATTGCACATGGCAATTTAACTGTTAGGTTAAGTCAGTAAACAAACTAACAATACAAAAATAGAGGAAGAGAAGATGAAATTTATCACCAATTCAAGCATCAGAAAAGGACAGAATAACAAAAAGAAGAAGCGAAATATATTTTATGAGAATGTTTTTCGTGCTCGATCTAGAGTTGCCTCTTGATGAAACTGTACATATTAATTCACGTTGATATTTGCACAGGCGCTCACATCTCTACTACATATCCAAAACAGATTGATTGAGAGAACAGAAATTCGAGTCCCTCAAAATCTTCTTGCAGATTATTTTCTATTATCTACTTCCAATTATGTCCTGCATAAGATCGCTTGAGATCCAACGCAAAATTTTTACACTTTGCAGCTCAAATCGATCCCTTTAGTTGTTGATTAGTTTAAGGCTTACATCAGTACCAATCATCCATACACGAGTGACAGGTCTTATATATTTATTCTCTCTATTTTCTGCTAGGAAACCCCTATTGATCTTCTTGGCAAGAAGATGCTTTCGGATTATTACACACATATACGTAATACAATCCTCTTTACACATGGGCTCCTAAGTACAGGTTACAATACATAATTGAAAAAAATACATTCATTCTTTTGCATTCATTTTATCGATAGAAATGGCAAAGTAACATTTTCCATATTTGCTTCGATGGAATATCGTTGAACTCTATCATTACCATAATCGACAACATAGAAATGTTGATGCCGATCAACTGAGAGACCATGAGGCCAGTGTAGCTGGTTTGGTCCCTGTCCTTTACCATTTCCACCAAATAAAACGTCACCTTGTATTGCGCCTTTGTGCCAACGCATCACTCGATGATTTTCTTCGTCTGCCACATAGACTGTACCCAATGAATCGACTATGACTCCTCGAGGGTACGATAATTGTCCGAGACCATTGCCATAGCCACGACCTCCAGCCACAAGAATTCCTTCATTTGCATCTTTGGCCCATTTAATTACACGATGATTGTCACGATCAGATACGTAGACAGAATGATCTTGATCAACAAAGACATAAGTTGGCCTATTGAGTTGATTAAGACGCATGCCTTGTCCATTACCTCCGGCTACGAGTTTACTATTGATATCTCCCACCCGGTATCTTCTTACTTCATTCTTCTCGATGTCACTGACGTAGATATATCTCTGATCATCTATGGCTAATCCGTAACAATCTATATTGTCCAAAATTATTTCTCCATACATAGTATCGTTTCGAAGAAGCCATCGCATGACTCGTCGATTGTCTCCATCGCTGATGATGAGACTATCTGTTTCGTTATCAAAGATCACATCGAAAGGTCTATCCAACTGATTCATCTGTTTTCCGCGTCCATGACTGCCGATAATTACTTCACCAATATTATCACCAATCTTCCATTTTACAATACGGTCATTGGCAAAATCAGCAATGAATATCGTATCATCATCATTGATATGAAGACCAAGAGGTAAGTACAGTTGATTCAATGCGTGCCCAGACCCATGTCCACCGGCAATGGTAACACCATTCGATGCCCATCGCACAGTAACTTGTGTGCCGGGGGAAACTGTAATATAAAGCAATGGTGGACAGTCTTATACCTCGTGATCTACGTAGAATATATGGAACTTTCGGAAATATTTTACATGATTGAAACTTTAGAGGGAAAATGTTCCGAGATTTTATGCGTAGAGTTTTCATCAATCCAAGTATCACTGTCGCACTTACTAGACACTGAAATATTTTTTATGAATGTTCCAGAATCTTGTTGAATTGAAATATTTTGTGGCGCAGCAAGTTCTTGTTTCATGCTTTGTAATTTCTCCTTCAAATTCGCTAAATCAGTTTCATACCATTCGTCCTTTTGACGAAGCGGTTCTAAATCGTCCATTAATCTATTTAGCTTCTTTTCGGTTTTCATAATATTTTCATCTGTGTGTTCAAGTAATATTCGTCTGCACTCTTGTGCTGTTTTCTTAATTTTTTCTATAGAAACTTCTTCCCATCTATTCACTTGTTGTATAAGAACACGCTGCTCTGAATCTTCTTTTTCATTAATAAGTTTTTCTCGGAATCGATTAAAATCGTGGGCTAATATATCGAATTGTTCGCTGAGTATAACACGATGTTTTGTTAAGTCCGAAAAACAGTACTCTTTTGAGCATCCTTTGCAAAAGTACGTGATTCTCTGTTCGTTACATATCGTACAAATGGTTTTACCCATTTTTCCTGCAGTTGCCATGCCTTGAATAATTTGACGTCCAACAACACAGGTATGCGCGGTAATGATGAATAAAATTTGAAAAAAAAACAAAGCCAAACTACTATTGTGCGGACACGTGTTTCAACCGAAAAATGTAATGTCAACAAATATCCTTAGGAAGTAAAAGAATGGAAAGTACTTTTTGAGATAGCATAATTCAGAAGATTTTTCACTAAAATTTAATTAATATATTCGCATACCAGAGTAATAATGATGATAATATATCGTAGGGTACAAACCTACTAATATTTTGGCTATAAAACAATTACCGCAATAAAACTTTGTTGGATGTGTGATTAAGTGTTGTGAATATTATTGTATATATATTTTTTTCTTATTAATAGCTAATCGATCTTTACCTATTATGAAAAGCAATGTACTATATTCTGATTGAACAGCACTTAATTAGATTGCAGTACGATTGTTGCTCTTTTATTCGTAGTTGACCTGATATAGTTCACTTCAGAGAAGAAGGAATTTGAACATGCGTATCCTTTAAAAGTTCGAGTATTCCTTTTGTCACTAATTACCATTGTAGATACATTCATTGTACACGTCATTTTCAATTACTTTAGTACATATTGTCTATCATTATATTTGGATCGAATTCATCCGATTTCTCTTAGCTAGTTGACTATGTATATATATATATATATATATCATTATTTGATCTTGAATTACTATGCAATTGTATTGGCCGATGAAATTGTGCCATAATATATTCACTCGCTCATCTTTTCTTTGACTGACAATAATCATTACAAGTTGTCTGTACTAACAAATAATAAAAAAATTGATCCATGATATGTTCTAGATTCATTCCACCTATCACCACAATAGTTAACTATTTAGTATTACATTGATATTGATACGGTATGAATTATGGAATTGTCATCTGTGAAAAAAATTAGTTCGTCAATATTAATAATCGCCAAACTTTATAACAAAACCGATACAACATGTATGAAAAAGCAACTCAAGCTTGCCAATATGTAGATGGGTCGTTTCACTCACTAGCCACAGCGCTTTACATCTCCACTGTTGAAAGATATCCAAATACAAATGAAAGTTTAAATTTTTTTCAGGGTGTGGATTGTAAAGGCAAGACGAACCGCCACCTAAACCGATATCCTCGATTAACATTGAATGTAATCCAAGTATGATCATCTTCTTGTATACGACAATTAATACATGCAGTTCTTCTGTTTCTTGTCGCGTATTAATTCAAAATAATGTCTTTCAAATTCATCATTTTCGAACAATATTTGTGCGATTTTAGATTCGCAAGCTGATTTGGTTACATAAATGACTGTTATTTGCGATGCCTACACCGAGAAAGAAAAACAAAATGAGACCGACTTATGCATACACTTTGTTTCATATAGCATTAATTAATGGCAGCAACGATTATGACATGCTAAGAGAAATTAACTTGATTTTTGCCTCATATAGATACCTGTTTTAAAATACAGATGTTGTATACGTTAACTTTTCGAACTGTTTTTCCTGAGGTTTGGACAATGATGCGCCATTTAATTGAAAAGTAAATGATTAAAAATTGATTTATGTCATTAAATATTCTCAAAAACAGTAAAAGATTATAAGCCGTAGATTACATCTTACGTATGTACGTCATTATTGTGAATCATCACATGTTTTGATCTGAAATTCAGGCTGTTCTGTGAGAACAAACGAAAATAATGTAACTCAAACCGTAGGGCTGCTGCATTATGTTCGCATGGCGCCATGAATCAGCGCTTATTCAGTAGTGCATAGCGGTAATTTTATTTGATCATTTTGAAAAGTGGAAGAAAAAGAAAACTGGCAATATCCATTACCGTTCTTCGTTTTTTTCTTTCTTTCTTTCGGTCAGTCGTGTAATTCAACGACGCATTCGATCAATTTCATTTTTACTCATTTCTGACAATCAAACGCTCGTTCTTAATAACCTGCATCGAAGTAGAGAACATGCAGTAACGCTTAGAAACTTCAAGTTGTCACACACAGCTCTCATCATCATAATGGACATTTTATTTCGCCTTCTGTTGGCTTTTTCATCCGTCATCATCGTTGTTCATGGTCAGGGAGCTCGCGGCGGAGGTGGTGGAAGCCGAGGCGGTGGCGGCTATAGGGGTACTTATTTTAGTTCACTTATAAACTTCCTTGCATATAATATTCGATTATAGGCGGCTCACGAACTGGAACTGGTTGTCAAGGTGCAAGTTGTAACATAGTAGGAATCGTTGTTGGCAGTGTGATCGGTGGTGTACTGGGTCTCATTGGAGTCATCTTCCTCACTATATTTTGTTGCCGAAGATATCGAGCTCGACGCGCAGACTCGAATGATACATTCATTAGTAAAAACTCGACAAATGAAGGTAATAGAAATTATCAAACTTACGAAGAAGACCATTTCAGAAACGGGGATTGGCAAAGTCGATATCATCAATATGGCCGATGGAATGGACCACATAGAATGTCATTGGTGTTTGATCGCATCAGCAATCGCGTGAAGGGGAACGGATCTGATAACGTCGGCAAATTCATCGTTGATGGAACGTTTTCTTTAGAAAATCAACGAGTAGCAATCGCAAAAACGTATGAACTAGGTACCGGTGATCCTAAAGAAAACTTTGGGCATAAAGTTGATTTACAAATGATATGGAATTCAAATAACGGTCAGTTCGAAGGCAAATGGTACGTTAATGCAAATCACTATCATGGTGAAGACAACTTCGAAATGAAATACGCAGACATATCGAAAACGCCTTTCGAGAAAAGAATCGACTGAAATGCTACTTTCGTTTTTAGATATAGACTGTTATCACGTCAATTTCTTTTTTTCTTAATATTGTGATAATCATAGACTTTTTTCGAACATGTAAAGGACAAAACAACTCATTCAATGTTTGAGCTTGATGATTTTTCATGCAGCGCAAGAATGAGTCCCACAGAATTTTTCGATCAAGCCTCTAGAATACGCACCATGCTGATTTGTAAAAATGTGATTCTTGTTGACAGCATACATGCTCCCATTATGCTTCATTAAGCGATACTACTCCTCGAGAAATGAGCCGATCGATGAATCGAGCACCATTATCAACAACAAACGCAAAGAAAGAAAAGTGTACATAGTGATTTTAGGGTCAAAGTCGAGCATATCATTATATTGCAAAAAAGAGGCCGTATGAGACATCAGTTTCTCGTCAATATTAAAGGGTACGGATATAGTTATAGAAAATATCTAAAGTGATATTCGAACTTGCAATTGTACTGATAGTAAACAACGTGAGTGTATTATCTTCTTCGTTGACAAAAAAATCATGAAGAATTTTGTCTCGCAAATTTTGAATGTTGCTTCTTCTATGCATTTTACGGTCGTCTACAACGTAAATCGGCACGGACACTGTTGCTAATCACTGGGTTCTTTTAGTTTTCCAGTGATACAATAAGTTGATAATACAATATATCAACAGCGTCGTTCAAACGATGTGAAGGAAGATTAAATTCGAAAAGATCTATTGATATTTAAAGAAGACAATTACATATTTCAAAATTAGTTATATTAGTGAAATAAAACGAGGGAGAAATTTATTTAAATAACATATTTATAAACAATAGGTTCGTGTATCGTGATTTCTCAAAGAAAATTTCTTCGTTCTTCATTCGATAATGACGATGACGATGATGTCGCCGGTGAATGTGCTGATGATGACATCATTCTATTGAATTTAGACGAAAGACGATTGCCATCAGTGTTTTGGCGAGATTCATCTGTATAGATTTGTTTAGAATTCGAACGATGATGAAGCCGATAAGCTACATCGAAAGCTTGGCCGAAAGTTAATAGAATCTAAATAAATTTAAAAAATAAAAGTGGTTTCACAAAATTTTATTTACTTCCGTTGACATTGCTTCACTTTTTACCACGAACACATGACAATAATTATGATGATCTGTATTTTTAGGTACAGCAAATGCTGACGATGTTAATTTTTGTTTATGATCAAACGCCGTACGTTGCTCATGTGCAACATAAGCAAAATAACGCAAGTCTTGGCCTTGACATGCACAATGTATAGATTTCATATCATGAAAACAGATAGCAACGCGATCTTTTGAATGTTTCAAAAATTCGACACCACGCGGTGATATACTTAAGCCAATTATTGGTAAAATACGTGCATATTGCGTTGACTGTATCAGTCGATTAATTGCATGAGTTGGAATTGTTGGTACATCATCATCTGATATTTTAATTGCTGTCGAACCTGGATCAATAAATGAAAGAGATTGTTTTTATTGTTCAGTATTTCTGAAATAGTTGCGAGTGTAGAGCGAATCCTTGCGAACTACACACAAGATTAGCTATATATATCTCAACATGCTAATAGGAATTAATAATTCACTCAACGTCATCGCGTAGTTGGCGGTACTGCAGCTGCATAAGTTACTTTGGGGAACAGCGAAGTGATTCAATGATAGCGAACCAGACTAATTTTGTTGTTCTCTCAAATAAAATTCACTGTTTTTGCTCATCGATTCTGAGAAAACGGTCTAGTGCAACATAAACCGTTTGAGATTTCATATGTAGAATGTTTTTAGGCTTTGATGTTATATTAGGGGTGTCAATTTACAGTTTATTTAATTTAAATTTAACTTCATGAAAAGTTAATTTAATTTTAAATTAAATTCTATCAAGTTAAATTTAAATTAAATTTTTGAAAATTTATTTCTTGATTTAATAAATTTTTTTAAATTTAAATTTTAAATTTAATAAACTGTTTGAATGGATACACATGATTGCTACGAGAGAAATACGTGACTTTAACAGTAGTAAATACTAAATGAGAGGAAAACCTAGTATTTTAGGTTAATATTTATTCATAATAGTCAAAATTTCTCTACAGATTAATCAGGATCCGTCGTCTTTCTTCTTCAGAATACTGGGATACTCATAAAAATATATTTAATAGTACAATTCATAGAAGAATGACTAGTTTTAACTTTAGAAAACAGGAAACATACTCAAATTTGACTTTAAATAGTAGCAATCAAGTCAAAAACTATTTTTATCTGCTAGTTTTCAAAATTTAACTAATTTGAATTTCAAACAATTTAATTTAAATTTAGTTAAATTTAAATTTTTGAAAATTTATTTCCCGATTTAATAAATTTTTTTAAATTTAAATGTGACACCCCTAGTTATATTATTACCTAAATAATTCACCCAATAAATACAGGTATCGTCGCTTAGTAATCTCTTGTATATATGTGGCCATTTATAATAAGATTCTATAAGACGTTGATTCATAGAATCTTTTGATGTTTCACTTATTTTCGATATGTTCGGTTTATTTTCCAGTGAATCAGTTTGTATTGATGTTGATGATGATGATGATAAACTTGCCGATGAATCATTTCTTACTGCATCTAAATTCAAGGTCGTCGAATCATTATCTACTGTTTGCACATTTTTGTCATCAGCTGACATTATTGTTAAACATTGATCAAGATTATTTAAAGATTTTCCTGTCATTGTACATGTTGACATTTTCAATGCGGACACATCACGAATTTGAGTCGATTTGAAACATGATATGCCTTGTTTACAATCATAAAACGATTCATCGTGCGATGAACATGTTGATTGTCGTTTACCAAGAAAAGACGATAGAATTAGTTCACTATTATTACGTGATACAAGTACCGATGATGAAGTTGAAATAGAAGAAATCAAGGGTTGCGTTTGTTCGCTACTCATAACACTCTTAATTATGTTGGGCGAAGAAACTACGGCAGAGATCTCTCCATGCTTATTATTCGAGTATAATGATACTGAAATATAAAATACATCGAATAGAAATGAACTTAGTTGATATAATTGTTTACCCGCTTCGTTTTTATTTTCATCAATTGATTCCTGCGATGGATATACATCCTGTTCTTTAATATTGCTCATGGTTGAGCGCATTCTGCTACTCCAATAATGGCCTGATGATGATTTGACTGGACAATAATCATCCGTTGAACTTTCGTCCATTGAACAACCAGTTAATTCAACACAAATTGAATTCCGATAATTAGAATTATTATTATTATTGTTATTATTATTACTTCTTAAAAATGATTGTAAACGTTGCTGTGGACATATCATTGAATTCGATCGTTTAAGAACAACATTATTATGATTGGAGTTATTAATATTATTTGTTATTTTCTTGTTATCAACTGGATTACTGTGATCACCAGATAGAATCGAGCAATTTTCACTAATATCTAAATGTGATGAATAATGTTTTCGACGAAATAAATTTGCACGATTTTTCAATCGATAGAACGGTTCAACTAATTTTTTACTGGTAGATACCGGAACTGATGTAGCCTAAAATAACGTATAGATATATGTCATTAATGTAATTGCATCGTAATATACAGTGGCGTCTTTGTGCGCATAGCATGTGTGCGCATTGAGAAGGTTGTTGTTGATGTTGTTGTTCTTTTTGCAACATATGCATCAATTTTCCTATCGTTGGAGTTACTCCCGTTACGCTTTGACGTATATCCGACGGAAATAGTCAATGTCTTCTCTTTATCCTTTCTAATTATATGAACATTTGGCCTTGGTAAAACATATAGAATAGAACAAGATAAATGGTATAACATCAACTATGCTAGCGAAAGTTCTCATCGATTGTTAGGTGCAAACAGAAGCGAACTGTGGTCTATAGTTTGGCGTAGGTTAAAATGTAATGCAAATACTGTTCATTATGGTAATAACTTCACCTCAAATTACATCAAAGTGTCGTCCCGCATTGTTACATGTTAATACTTTTACATTTTCATACTGTCTACTTGGTTGTTTTCTCGAGTAATAATCTTGTTGCATACATCGAGACTATAATTTGATGTAATTCGATGTGAGATTATCATAAGTACAGTCATACGAAAAATATTTTTGAACCTATTTAAATTTTTCGCTGTGTTTTCGATAGTGTCGAAAATCATCACTCCTCCGAATTGAAGATAGCCAATCAAAATTTTCTATGTATGTAAATCATTGTTTTCGGTTTCTTACTTTAGTTATCGGTCGAGAGTCCATTGATAATGAAATTTGAGTTAAATCGGCGCACGATGCCATGATAAATAATTAATCTGAAGAATAAAAAAAAGAAGAAGAGTATTTCCCTTCTCTGCTTTGTTACGTTTTGTGTGTTGATGAAAAACTGATTATAACATTTTGTTAAGAAATCGTGCAAACGTGCGTGATATACATAAAACATTTACGATTCGTCTTGTGCTACTGTATATAATGTTATACTTTGAAATATGATTCATTTAATGGTGTGAATATTCGTCTTTCGGTTTGTCGTTCGAATGGATGAGAATAAGATCATCGCTGTTTTTTCCCCTCTCCTCTAAATCTGTAAGTGTGAATAAAATAAAGATCACATCTATGTAAATGATGACATTTGAGTGTTAAACGAAATCGATTAACTCAAAAATGGTTTCACAAAACACACTAGAATATTGAACACGACGTTCTAAGTTTATTTCTTATACTTACTGTCTAGACACTCAAGTACGAATAGGTATATTTCAAGTAAAGATGACAATATTTCAATCGCTTACTTTTCTCTTTCGCGCACACATTTTATTTATCTTATAAAGAACACTTGAAAACGAGTAAATGGCTTTGTCCTCAATGGACTATATACAATATTCCTCTTTTCTCTTCTTGTTGAGTTGCCTTCTATATTTATTTCATTTGATGAGGATTAACAAAATAAGACGATCGAGGACACCAGTAATAGTAACTAACAAAATTACTCGTAGAGATCAGTGCACTGAATAATATGCAAATATATGTGCTCTAGTAAATGATCAGCTTAACTTTCTATTAAGAACGAGTAACGCCCCTCGAGCGCAATTAGACCGAACAAAGGAAAAAGTGCACAAATGAACCAAATCAAATTTCGATCGATGCTCGTAGAAGAATTCTAATGTACAATCGAATCTACCTACACATTTTTGGACTTTGATTATATCATTAAATGTACATCGAACGATCGGTATGGTGCACCATGAAATTTGCAGTTATGATGTTCGATTCGTTTTTATATTCTATTAAAATACTTCTTGAATAACGATACAAAAGCCGCAGGAATGAAATTCCTGTTCAAATGAATCGATGCACCATTTTCGTCTTTCGAAAAGACAGGTTGCCTGAAGTAGAAGTAAATGAAATCTTTGTTTTTACGTACATATGCGCATTGAAGTAGACCAGCATTTCATAGTGAAAATAAAAAAACACACAACAAACTTGAGTATTCCTATTTTTTCTCTCGAAGATGAAATCGACTCCTGTTATTACAAGGATAGAATTGATGAATTTTACGTTTCGTCGTACGATACAAGGAGTTCAGTTGTTTTATATGGCAATAGTATTTCATTTGAATGATGGATTTCGACCGCAAAACCTCATGGAGAAAATGACATTCTGATCCTCAGAATATTGCCAAATATTTACCATTGGACAAAAAGTTTGTTTTTGGTAAATAAAATCTTCCGCTGAATTCCGTTCGAATTATTCCCGAAGTCACTCTATGAGAAATTTCTTCGTTGATTAGTGTTGATTCTAGTCCGTAATATAAATCATCTAATGCTTTGTCTCTATATGAATAGTGAGAATAAAATTATAGAATGATATGATAAACATTTGTTATTAGAGAGTTATTCACATTAAGAAAGTGTATTTTGGGATATATGAGAACTGGTATACTTCTTTTAGTTTATCAGAATTTAATATATTTGTACTAGGTAAATATTATCCTAAACAAGTGGCCCTTGATTACAAGTATTTCCATTACAGTTATATATATGTGAGAGGTATTTGTGTATGGCAGAAGGATTAAAATCAATACAATGACTTTCACATGTATTTGAAGTGGCACCTGTAATTGGATAAATATTTTTCGGACCTGTGAGTCAATTAGTTGTTTTTTTTTCGCAGACTGATTTAATGGAAAAAAAATATGAATTCGTTTGAGTTAAGCAAAAGTTTTATCTATAAATTACTTTAAACATTCATGAAGTAGAGGGCTAGTTTTTGTTTTATAGAAGTCACCGGATGAATTAAAAAGCAAGATTGACGTAAATTTTTAAAATAGACGTGATTATGGAGCAAATTGTTTTTCTCGTAAGATAAGAAATCGACAGGCTTTGCATGATTGACGTTATTTTCAGAAAGGAAACTCGTAATTCCAACGTCAAGCACAAGCGGAAAATTCTGTACTAACTAACCGCTGTTGTGTTGAGTAAAGATGTTCTTATTAGTGTTTGCTCTAACATACAGAAAATAATATGATAATTCGATTTCAAACTTGACGCACATACATATTTTCTTGGAAATACTTTCGGTGTTGAAATTTAACGAAAATAAAAATGAGTCTTTCATATGTTCGATACTTAGCCTTCAAAATAAGGGTCAACGAAAAGACATACAATAATCAGCAAAGCGTCCCCGGCAGCAACAGTAGAGTTTACATGTTTCATTGAAATTTCAATGCGAACTTCTTTTAATTATATTTTAAAAAAAGAGCACACAAACATTAAAAAAAACAACAAATAGAACAGTTTTAACATTGAGTAACTGCTGGTATTTCTGTGAGTGAATTATCTGTTGAGTCTTGATGTAGACTTTCGTCGTCAATAAAATTTTCGACTGGGTCTGAATCTATGGCTTCGATGTTTTTATAGAGACTTGACGCCTGTAATGTTGCTGGTTCTACATAAGTTTCTGAGTGACTTTTACTGCCAGATAAACGTGCACTGTGTATACTACCTAATGTGTCCGACGAAGCATATTGACCCGCTCCGGAGTTATGATTATTGAGTACAGGCGAATTGAAATGTCGTTGTTGTTCGATAAGATTTTTCTTTTTTCTTCGTTGTTTTATTATAGCTTTGAAACGATACCAAAAGAAGACGCCGGCAATAGCGCCGACGGTTATTGCTAGTAGTGTGCTAAGCACAGTAAATAATTTTTTCAAATTATTAAAAGGCGATTCATTTGGAACTTGTGGAGTACTCCTAAAAGAAATGAAACATTATTTTCAATTCAGTGAACTCATTATAAAAATTTAACATCTTCCGAATCATTTACTGATAGAATCAGTTTAGATTCAGACTCTTGATTATCAATTAGAATAGACAGACTAGATCTGCTATGATCATTAACAAGACACGGTAGTTCAATCGTCCCATTACATAAACGAAACTCCTGATAGATTTATTAGTTCAACGAGAAAAACATCTTTGCTCATCGGTTTATTCTTAATTCTAATATATCAGAAAGCAAACTATGCTCGACTATTTATCTCCATTGAAAGATTTCATGCGCGTTTTCAAATTAAGAACGAACCATGTTGCTAATGCTGGCACGGGAATTTCGCTTGTTGCATCGGTGAGAACAGGTGGGGCAAATGATGTGTCTGTGTATACATTCGATACGCTTGTCGTTTCAATTGTTGTTGTTGTTGTTGTTGTTGTTGTTGTCATAGCGTCACAATCGAGAAACATTATTTTATAATCACATTTATCTTCTAAACCTTGAAATACTAAATCACTGTCATTTATTTGTTGCTTTAAAATTGATTCGGTTTCCTTTTCATTACAGATAGGAGTTAACCGCAAATAATTTCTAGTAGATTTTGATATTGAATTTGAATAATTTTCAATCGATCGTTGATTAAAATTAAAATAATGAATATTACACGAGCAAAAATGTTGATGTGATACGTGAAATAATGTTTGATTATAATGAGATAGCATACAAAAGGCAACATCACTCAGATCAAAACTAAACATAGAACAAAACATATTCCTGATTAATTATTGATTCTATTCAACAGCTATTTTTATCGAACACAAGAATATTAATTATCTTGTATTTTTCTTTGAAATTATTGTTCTAATGGATGCTAAACATCATTGACTATATTTCACGCATAATTAAATCGAAATGGGTAACCGCATATGACGTTTTGTTCTCCGATTAGTTTCATCTTCCTGAGTCAATGTAACTAATTTATAGAACTGCGCTTGTATTGTAACACTCGATGAAATTCATATCCTCTTCCGTTCCTTTATTCGGAACCGTGTTCTATACGTTTATTCAATGCTGGTTTGCACTCATAAAGCGTTGATTCTCACCTTACGATAGCGAAATATTTTTTAGCCAGATAAAAAAAAATCATGCGGAGGCTGCATAATCATCGAAGCTATTCTCGGTGCGTCCTTACTCGGTTTTAAGTAAATGAATAACATGTAGACTCGCCAAATTCCAAATCCATTGAAGATATTGTTGATCAATTAAATGAATAAATTCTACGCCTTGAAAATGAATTTGTTTCAATTGTGTTAGATTTGAAAATGCATCCGAATGAATTATTTCTAGAGGATTGTGATTTAAATAGAGTATTCGTAAATTATATAAGTGTTGAAATGTATAATTATTTAATTCATTGATTTGATTATAGCCTAGATCAAGTTCATACAATTGATTTAATTCTTTAAAATGCATTGATGATAAATCTTGAATCGAATTTTTTGCCAATGATAAAGTTTTTAATAAAAGTAAATCTTTAAATGCATACGGATGTAAATATTTGATGTGATTATTTCTTAAAATTAATCGCCCTTTAAATTGTCTTAAATGACGAAATGTATGTGCATTAAGAGAATTTATTTTATTGTAGCTCAGTTCGATTTCTTCTGTTTGACTATACACAATATTATTTGGAAAATAACTTTCGGTTAAATTTATTGTATTAATACTCGAGATTATTGTAAATATTGTTATATACACAGGATTGGTCATTAGTGTTACGTTCATAGTAACACTTTTTTCAGATTCCATTGATGAACTTTCATCGTTAGAATCAAGGAGTTGGTTTGGAACCTGTTTTTGATTGATTGGCAATAAAATATCGTATTCAAGAAAATGGTCATATTGCATTTTAGTAAGACTTTTGGATGCTATTTCGCCATTTTGATTTGTAAAACCATAAAATTTCGATGATCGAATTAAGAATGAATAGATTTTTGAATTCGCAAAGGTTACTTCATTTATTGGCATTTCAAAATCTATTAATTTAAAATATAAATTAGTTATCGTTGTGCCATAAAATATTTGACCATTGAATTCAAAATGTATTCGGCCATATGTATCCTGATTTGTTATAGCTAATTGACCGACATAGCCACTGTCAAATGTATGATCATTTAAAATAAGATATTGTGCATTAAAACGCAATGTTCGAGCAATAATATTAGAAAAAACAAGCCGATGCACTGTTAAATTATCATTGAATGTTTCAAAAGCTAAATGATCATATAATACGCTCGACCAACGATGATTTGTTGTTACATCTGTTAATTGACGACATCGTAAACGTGTTTCATTGGATGAAAACAACGCCATAGTACGAGTTCGTTGACAATGACATTCACGTGGAAGATTTAATAAATCACAAGCAGTTTTGAAATTTATTGAAAATAATTGTGCTGGAAATAGTAAGAGAATAAAAACAACAGAGCAACTAAAACAAGAGTAAATCAAAAATATAGTGCAGTTCAAGCTTTGGTTTAGTCAACAAAATTAGATCAACTGTATTTTTTCACTAAAATCGTATTCAATTGTTGGTGATTATTATGATATTTACTGAACAATGAACCCTGGAGATCATCACTAAAAGTAACTAATGAAAAGCATGCTCAACTTCCAAATTTGTACTGTTCAAAGTATTTCTATTCTTCTATTGTAATTTTTTTTTTTCATTAATTTTTATCCCTCAACAAGCGGAACAAACATACAATTTTCAAGGACTCTAAAAATATAGTTCATCTTTGTTTATCATCATAATAATAATAATAAGTATTGAATTTCAAAGAAGATTAAACAAAATAGTTTTGTTCTCTATCCAAACAACAAATTTTAAACTATATTTTTCTGTTTTCACATTTATATTTGTTAATAGCATACATACCCGAATAGTTCTTTTAACATGATGGAATGTGTATTGTCGAAAGAAGATAATCGTTTTTCTTGAATAGTATTTAATGAGTACAAATCAATATGATGACCAGACGGATATCTATATAGATGTGCACATGCGGAAAACAAATTTGTTCATTGAATATTTATCTCACACTCAGTTGATTTCACGTAAATGAAGAGGGGCGGGTAGAAAATAAGCAAGGAAGCAAAAGTACCGTTGTTGTTTAGATTATCGACGCTCCCTCAATAGAATAATCACTATTCGCCGCATCGATCATCTTTATAGCTCTATTATGTACGCATGCGCTCAACATACGCATCTATATATGCAAAGCGGCGACGAGCATTGATGAGTGACAAATGTAACTCTCTGTGTGTATATTGCTGTATGATGCTCGGAGGCTAAGTTTAATGAAAAACAGAGATAACAGCAGGTAGAGAATAAGCCTATAGGGAAACACTGGTTCTTTTGTATTGCATAGAAAAATCTATCTTCAAGAAACGGTGAACTACCATCTGCCAGAAACGTTCAATGAAATGTTTGAGAAAATGTGTGCGGAAGTTTCGCTTGTTCTCTTATTCAGTGACCAGATCTATGTTGTCGTTTTTCTTGTCTTAATATTGATGTTATTCTGGTTGATTGTGTGAATACTCATTATGATTGCTTAACGATGCGAAAGTAAACCACATTGCCGCCTGTTCGTCATGACGTTTTTTTGTTCTTCCGCATGAAAATGAATCACCATTGACAAGAGAATGGCTTTGAGAAAAGACGGATATGAAAATAGTCGAGAAATAAAATAAAAAAAAAACAGAAAATCATTTCCGAATGTCTTTTGAATTATTCAACTAATACATCACCAAAACACAGATGATCGATTTAGATAAAATACTGATAAGAATTTTTTTTCTTAGATAGGGAAACAAGGAAATAAGAATTGCAGCTTGTGTTTCTTTTTTCCGAAGAATATTTAAAATGTAAACACAGGCTAATGGTAATGTCTAAATGAAGTATTATGTTTCATGAGTTGTTCTTTGATCGTGCGCTAGAAAATAATGATTTCGTCATATGGAAAAATATGCGATTGAGCTAGACGAAGAAAAGAGAAAATAAGAATACTATTTGATTGGACTAATAGAAAAAAATATAAATTTAATGGCCTATCAATCAAAAGGAGAAAATAGAAAAAAATTGGCATCATCTCATTGTAAAACCTCATCATGAACTCGAGGGTTAAACGATTCAATAGCGAAGAAAAAACATAAGTCAAGAAAGAATTTGTTTAATATTAAATACGATAGATGTTGTTATGATCTATCAAAAATGAATAATATTTATTGCTCATAGATATCAAACAAACAAATGATCAAAGTAAAACATATGCATAGAAAGATGTTTGTTTTATCATTGTACAATATCTATGCATCATCATTATCAGAATTGTTTTCATTTTCATATTGTCTGCATTGAGTAAAAGATTTAAATACGACGGATTTTCTTTCCAACGAAATGTAGTTGTGTAAGACTTAGCGTTCGTGAGAAAGCGGCGAATATTTATATATGATACTATGATGTCGCTCATCGATAGGCTCTTCATTGGGAGTAAAACGATCGTAATATGCATCCGTTCAATGTTTTCTAGAATTTATATATTCCACAATGCTACAGAACGTAAGCTATTCAACTTCTACTCCACAGAAAATCAGGGAAGAATGTCATTATTTGAGTTTTTTGCAAGGAACTAGAGAGATATGACACAGAAAGACGTTCAGTTCGATAGCGATGATAACTAAAGTAGATTCGTTCGTCTAGAATATTGAAAGTATCTTCGAATAAATTCGGGACTGGCTGTAAAAAGGATAAATAAATCAAAACTTGCTTTTTTTTTGTTAGATTAATTGATCGATCACCTATACTGATACAATCAATGCTTTACATCAACTATCAGAATCTCTTACTCACTTGTATAAATACTAATTGGCGCCATATGTCCGACAGATACTCATGTCAATGGAACTTACACAGCAATCTGCTAGTAGAATAGAGAGATACATCATTTTTTCTAACAAAAACAATCAATTTCTTTCATACAAACAACGACTGGACTGATCTCCTAAAAAGTTTACAGAGAGTTACGTTTCATTTCTCCTTCAAGTTATCAGTAGACTTTCGTTTTCCGATCGAATATAGTTTTAATTATGAGACTTATGGAAATTGTCACAAAGAAAAATCATCTGATATATGAATAATGTCTTTTTTTGCTCTTTCCCCTGTCAACAGCAACCAGTTAGCTTTCTAATAATTAATTAGAAACGCTCGCGGTAGTACCGGTGCATACTATCATTCTGTTTTTCTTTTTTTCTTTATTGTTGTTTTTGTTCTTTATCGTTGTTTAAACGTTTCCATTCATCTTAGAATAATTGATCGTTGCCATTTAAACAGAAAAACAAAATATATCATCAACTCGAAATTAATTCGATAAATGTTAACAAGCTGCTGTGCGCTGAAAGGCTTTTCTGAATCGTTAGATGTACATGTTAAACTTTTGCATATGCAAATAATCAGTTAAAAGTTCGAGGGGATCAAAACAAATGACATTATTTCTTTCTACCTAAAGAAACTTTTAGAAAAATAAGTCAAGACAAAACGAAACGAAACGACAGCTTTTTCTGATACATCTTGAAATGATAAAATATTTAAAAAACCATGAAATTAGAGTCAGTGTTATACTGAAAAAGTCGTTGCTATTTGAATCAAAACATAAATTCTCGCATTAACGGTAATATATTACTATGACACACTATTATTTATTAGAATAATCATTCTATATAGTGTTCGTTCATCATCGTTTATATGGATAATATCATATATTAATTGTTCGGAGTGTTATTTTCAAAACAAAGTCATAGTCTACATTTATTCAAGTTTCTGATATTTATTAATTTTAGTATCATCGTCGTCTAAACTTCGTTCACAGTTTAATAATATCGCACTGTAACTTTATATATACTGCCGAGTATTGAATTGTGACTTTTGTCCTTGGATACAACATCGATTAAGTCTGTTTTTAGGCATATGCATAGTCTCTCTCGAGTTAGAATGCAATCAATTATTTATCTATTTTATTACAGGCATTATATCTATTTAGATTTGTGAGAATTCGCACATTTCTCTTTGAGCAATGTCTGCGAATGAAAATTAATTTCAAATAAAAAAGATTTAAGTGCCAAATTGAAAAAAAAACATTACTTTTGTGCAAAAAAAAATAAACGATAGAAATGAATTGCAAATTAACATACGAATTTACGGTCAAGACGTACAGCAATACTTTTGAATTATAAATAAGAAGTATCCGATGTATTTATACTTCAAAAGTTTTATTCTACGAACATTAAAAGTTAGTGAGAAAAGCCAACGAAGCATTTCTTAAAAAGAAAATATATTTTCATCAGTGAATCTCTGACTGACGTAATTTTTTTCTCGTCTCAAAGATATACTTTTGCAACGTCAAAATTGAGTCAGTCATTTCTCGTTCGTCATCCGCGACGATGGCCAGTGCCGATTCGAAATGTTTCAAAGCAAGTCTATATTGTTCACGTTGGCTAAGAACACGAGCAATATTTGTATGATAATCAGCTAAATCCAAGTGATTGGGTGTTAAAGTTTTGATACCAATATTCAGTGCTTCTTGAAAGCATTCGAGTGCTTTTACGTAATAGCCCATATCTTCATGCACTTTACCAATCTCGTTTAATGTGGATGCTACCGAGGGATGAACTGGTGATAGTTTACTTCTTTTACTCTCTAAAACTCGTTCAAGTGTTTCCAAAGCGCTTGTTTTATCTCCACATTTGTTCTCAATTTTTGCTTTCAGACTTTCCACTGTAGCTTTGAGTAATGAATTCTGCGTTTGCGATGAATTGTATAATTTCATTTCAGCTTGATTTTGTTGATTTTCAGCTTTTTCATCATCTCCTAATGCTAGATAAGCTAAACCAAGATTACAATGCGTAGCGATCACTTGAGGACTTGTATGACGATTTGAGCTCGAATAAATCTGAAGTGCTTTTTCATAACACTCAATAGCTAATTGCACCTGACGCGTATCTTTATAGATGAGACCCAGTAAGTTATAAGCATCGCCAATTCCTCTATCCATTGGTGGGAGTTGTTCGAGCATCATTTTTGCATAACGTTCAGCTTTGTTGAATTCATTGACGCGGTAAAGAAACCAACCGAATGATAATGGACTGGGTTTCACTCCTATTTGTTTGATCATATGATCGGAAAGATGTTGGCTCAGTTGGTTTTGTTCTTTACTTAGTTTTAAATGGACATGCCACATCTTTTCATGGAGCTCTACTGATTGAACTTTGAATATGGCACCAATCGAAAATATAACTTCTTCTTCATCTGGACAACATGCATAATTTTGTATGAATGCAAATGATGTCATTTCTTTAGACATATTAGAAATGTCAATGATGAAAAGAACGGATTGTAGAGGCGATGGTTCCTTCGATTGATCACTCGTATCCGCAAAAATCAAAGCTATTTCTTTATTTAATGTAGCGCTTAAGAAGCTGTTCATTGAAATAAGTTCATTTACGTTATTCTTCATTAGATTGACTTCGGCCATACTTAAACGTTGTCCACGATATACAGTCAACTCATGGTTTGTATCAGAAGAATGTCTTTCTAAATATCGATAATACGACTGTTCGATTTGGTTACAAAGATCATTGATAAAGAATCGAAATTTAAATATTATTTCAATATCTTGTGTGCGTAGAGCTTTGTTTAATAACCGATACAGAAAACTATCGTAAGTGTACCACCAAAATGCTCTTGTTGGACAATAAGTGTCTTCGAAAAGTTTTATTTTCTTTTGTTCAATTTCATCTCTATGATAATTAGCTTTAGATTCAGCGATCATGTCAGTTTTTGAGTTATAATATTTTGCCATCGATCGAAGAACCATCAATATTGCCCGATACCACATAAATGTAGAACTTTCTTGTGTTAAATTTTGTAAAGTTTGTTCTCGCTCAGCAAGATGAAAAACACTCATTGGTAAATCATCATCTTTGCCATAGAGATCAATATCATTACCAATTTGATGTAATAATTTTTTTTTCTCAGTGAATATACCAGAGATCTTAAAATGTGGTTTAACCCATGATTCGGCTGCTTGACGGTTACCACAGAATACGTATATTTTTTGTATTTGTGGCAGTCCGTATATAAGAGGCACAACATTTCGACCAAGTGCATTGGAAACAATAAAACAAACGTTTTTTGTTGCTAGCTCATCGAGTATATAATCAACACATTCGTCGGGATCAGCGGAAGTAAATAAACGACCTCTGGCCAGTTGTCGTATAAGCGATTTTATTTCTCGACTACTTCTACTCTTTTCGATCCCATTATCCAGCCAAACGATAAAAGAATCGTTGCTCAAGTTACTGACGCACTCATCAGTCATCATTTTGCATAAGTGTGACTAGAAAAAAAAGCACTATTCAGCTACTGTACCTTATAGTATATACCTCGTTTGCTTTTTCTCTTCTTCTTGCAAACGAGACAGACGGCTATACTCGAGTGTGTCTCTGCATAAATTAGGTCTTTTTTATCAATAGAAAGTTACTTGTAGATATAGTAGGTAGACTTGCTATTACCTTTATAAAAACCACGCCTAAGGAATATTCTTATTTTGTCATTAGCTTTTCGTTTCCTAGTCCAGTTCTGCCTGATGCATTCTGAAATTGTCGGTATAATTCTTGATTATCAAATTTACGAGATATTTGTGAACCATCCTTACATAGAATAAGTCATATGAAAAACGACTGTAATGGTATTAGTGTTGTTTTATCATAAATGTCAAACACATCTCTTCTATTCATTCAGTTGACCATGTTACATGAATTTGATTGATTCAATTTTTGTTGAAGAAACATTAACTCATATCGAAACTTCGAAATAATAAGAATACTAGATGTGATCGTGAAACAAGGCGCTAATCAATTTGAATAGTCATAATTTATTCAGCTAAATTTTACAAATTTTTACCTCATAGTAAAAGATATACAGTTTGTCTTTGTATCGAATGAGATGATGGTTTTAGTAAATGTATTAGCGTTCTCTTGGCCGAATACAAAAGCATTCCGAAGAGAAATATATTTGTCTGGAAAACTATCATTTGTTATAGCAGCTTTGCCAACTTGTTCTTCTCAGCAGAGCTGATTTCATTTTAGTCGAACAAAAATTTTGATAGGCTCTTCTTTAGGCAAAATCACAACACTGCTAGCATAGTAAAAATTCTCCTGTTAACTATGATTTTATTCTTGACAGAGAAGTCAATTTTCTATTTACAATGAAACGGTGTCTTCTATCGAATTATAACTGATAGTTGATTGTCTGTGAGACAAATACTTTCTAGAATAGTGATATCGATTGAATTTAAATATTTGAAAAGAATAATAAACAACTTATCTAACAATACCACCGTTCACTTTACATTTTCACAGCATGTTTTGCGAACCATTTTACCTTTTCTTAAAGCGTATCATCGGAGATGCGTTAACGTTTTTTGTCTGCTTGGACACAAACGTAGAGTTAGTCCAAACGTTATATTTTTTATTTAACTTAAATTGGAAATAAAACTGTCAGCTGTTTGCTAATACAAGATTGAGTATTTTAGTCGTTCTGTTTGCATCGACATATGATCATAAAAAGCCATGTGCTTTTCTTTTCTGGCAATATTTTCAGATAAAAAGTGTAAACTTCAAATATGACGTTCAATCATTTCTACATCTGAAAAGATGTTGGATTCTTCCCGTGACTAATAAAATTTCGATAAAAGTCTACTCATCGTAATCAATAGAATCGAATAGTTCATTCTCGGAACGAAGATATCATAAATGAATTGACACAAATTAATGGCGTAACATCCGATGTGACAAATATGAGAATATTCTTCGGCCATTTTCTCACGCAAAATTTGAATCAGAATCTTATAGAGAACTTTCGACAATGAAAATAGTTAAATTGCCCGGAACCAACTAGGCAAGTTAATTTTTCTTTAGTATTAATCCATTGCATTGTGCAATGACCTTGTTTTTTTCTCCTCGGAACAGCTGTAAAAATGCACGGACTTTGATTCATCTCCAAATAATAATACATAATAACCAGAAAATAAAAACCTTCCTATAGGTATCGACACGTGATTTATGTAATCAAGGTTGTATTTTCAACGTGAGTCGATTCATATTATCATGCTTCACTTATTCGATATTTGCTCTTATGAAGTGCAATGATCGCAAGCGAGTAAATGAAAACAAGATAAAAATTCCGTTCATTCCTCCCGTTACACCTCCTTTTCAATCGTATTGAGTTGACTATGAGCAAAATAATTGACCAAAATTTATTTCATCACATTAAAAGACATATTTGAATACAATCATTGTAGAAAGCAATCACATGGATACAGTCATAAATAATGATCTATGGTTGTTTACGAGCATACAAACACTACATAATGATCATCGTATAGCAGTTGAAATAAATAAAATAACTGTTTGATTAATCACAAACTAAAAAGAATGAAATGATTTTGAAAATTTAAATCAGTCCTTGAAATGTTAGGCGGCACTAGACGCCGGATATTTCTAAATATTGGGTTCTGCAAACGACAACAAAAATATTATAATCCGTAAATATTAATCAACCGAATTCAATTTTGACTTATACCTTTCAATTAAACATTTGCGGACGATTGATTAGTTTATTTTCATTGTAGCTCAATTCTTCATATTTTCTTTTACAATACTTCATCGGATCCTTTTCTAAATCAGTTAAAGCAATGGAATTTCGAAACGATTAAAAATTTGAGCTATCACAACCAACCATACATGGGTATTTGGCAATTCATAATTGGTACGAATGGAATTTGGATTTCTATTTGCTTTGTTTACACATACAAAACTAGACGTACAATCTTTTGCTATCGACTCTCTTGTCAATGAAACATAGGACCAAGCAATTTGTCTTTTACAAAATCAAATCATTGAAAAAATATATAGACTAGTCATACATCAAATAAATATAGTCTCATTCTTAGTTGTACAATCCTCCTTCTGTGGAACAGGTAAAGTAAAATAGTACTGTGTTAAAGGTTTTCCTGTACCTTTTTAAATGATATGGTTATTTTTTCGATATACATAGACTGTTAAAATCTATACGAACAGTAACATATAGCGTGGTATATTTTGAGTGTTATTAGAAAGGAAAAAACTAGGAATTTTTCGCTTTTACCAAGCAATGAAATCTCAGTTTTTGTTTTATACTACGTATATAATGATCCGTAATTTGAACTGTTATTTCAAGTTTTCGGAAAGTCTGTTATGCATCTAATATTAAAAATCCGTTTTTCTTTCCCACGCATACCGTTGCTTGCTGTGATCTCAAATAGCATATGCTGATGTAGAAAAAAAATCAAATAATTTAAAACGAATCCTAGACTTTTATAGGTACTAAACAGTTTTTCAACTTCTTTTGATATTTTTCTAGAGAGAAGCATTGTCTCCATTATTTATGTTTGAGATGAACACATACTAAGACGATCCATCAATAAAAGTCAATATATACGGTAACAAAACAGTATTCAGAAGGCTTTTTGACGGCATCTATGTTATTTGGTAAATTCGTAATGATAAGTAGACAATTACTATCCTATGTTATTGTCTATTAGTTCAACATTGTATTTGAAATTAATCTAAAAGTCATTCAAATCAATACCTTTATGCTTTCTTAGGGAAAACTCCTATATTTTCAAATATTCAAAATCCAAGGTGAGATATTTAACAAAAACTATTCTAATGGTACTGTTGTCCTTAAAAACTGTAATATTTTTTAGTGAAATATGTAAATTTCAATTGAAATTTATTACCAATGCAAAATCGCTTCTGATACAAAAACTTAAGATTGAACACATAGAATATGATCTGTATAGTTGGATTTAGGACTCGCATAAACTATGTTAGCTGCTGTTCTCATTGAGTGCGCTTGCTTAATCGAAAGCGAACGTTACACATTGTCTTTGTTGATTATGGAAAATGGCAACGCTTCCACGATGAACAGTTTGCAACGGATTACCTATATTCTATTCGCGATTTTTCTCTTTTGATCGTTTGCTTTGACGAATATTTGAAAAAGCTTTCTGGACACTATTCACGTTTCATATGGCCTATCTTAATTATTTTCATATATACCTAGAATAGAATCTGCCGCACTTTGAAAGACATTTTTGAACTATGTACATATTCTGAAAACGTCGTGCGAAACTATTATGCGGCACATTTTTATTTTTTCGGGAAAAGCAAACAATGACGTTTTTTCAATATAGTTTCATTTAACTGTTCCTATCTTGAAAACCCGAGCAGGTCACGAAATGTGACACCTTTTATTGTAGCGTGTTTTTGCAGTAACTGAGTGTCTTCTGAAGTAGACGTTCAGCATATGCGTAATTGCTTTGTATCACCGATTAATCTTTAAGGCTAGATTTTCTTAGTCTTTTATTTTAATTTTCTTTTGACGCGATAGAACGAAGCGTACGATCGCGAAAATAGTGCACTAATCATTTTTATGTTACACTAACCCTCGAGTGACATTTCGAACGTGCACCGAAAAATCGCAATTTCATTTTCGTTTCGTTTTTATTAGATCAATGTGTATATGGTATCCACTCAAATGTCGATTATGATGATCACATTTGAAAGGGATATTGAGATGAGTAAAAGAGAAGAGATAAATCAGTAACGGATTAAATTACGCTTAAGAACGAAGAAAACAGAATAAACGGTTATTGATACGAAAATAAACTATCAGATGTTTGAAAATTTTGCTAATAGGGGATACAAAGAACGAATCATTTTGTCAAGTACTTACAATGTTTAAATCGATTTTCTGTTTCATTTTCTTATATATACCTATTGATACTCTGCACAAGAATACGTCACCTAGTCCTCGTCCCAACTTTCTCATAATTGTTGCTGACGACCTTGGCTATACAGACATTTCGCCATATGGATCTGAAATATCCACACCTAATATCGAGTCACTTGCGTCTAATGGCGCAACTCTCTTTACTGACTTTCACACAGCTTCGACATGTTCTCCAACACGTTCGATGTTACTTAGTGGAACGGATCATCATTTAGCTGGTATTGGGCAAATGTCTGATATGACAGAACGATATCCAAAACTTTGGGGTGGAAAACAAGGTTATGAGGGATATTTGAACGATCGAGTGGCTGCTCTTCCAGAGATTCTAAAAGATCTAGGCGGATACCAAACTATGATGACTGGGAAATGGCATTTAGGCACTGTGAAGGAACAAATTCCATCAAAACGTGGTTTCGAACGGAGTTTCGCACTAATTCACGGTGCAGGCAATCATTTTAATTATGAACCTGCAGTAGCAACAGAACGAGGAGGATTTGCATTGAACCCTCCGTTATATGTACGAGATGATGAGTTTATCAATCATACGGCTCTGCCCGAAGATTACTATTCATCCGATTATTTTACGTCAGAATTAATTCGATTTCTTGACGAAGGGGATGAAAGATCGTTTTTTGCCTACCTTGCTTTTACTGCTCCACATTGGCCTCTACAAGCACCGAATGAGTTGATCGAGAAATACAAAGGAAAATACGATGCAGGACCAGATGCCTTGCGTGCTGCCAGACTGGAGAGACAGCGACAATTGGGCTTACTCACTCGAAATGTGGACTCAATGAGGGTGTCAACGAATGAGACATCGTGGAAGTCCATGTTAGATGATGAACGAGCATTCTCGGCAAAAACAATGGAAATCTATGCAGCCATGATCCATAGAATGGATGATAGTATTGGCCGTATAATCGATTATCTTCACCGAACGAACCAATTTAATAATACATTTATTCTTTTCATGTCCGACAATGGAGCAGAAGGAGTGGTACTCAGAGACGGCGCGAAGTAATAAAAGTATAGGGGGGTTACTTGAAAACGGGAGGTTT